TCACCAGTGATGTCACCTGGTCACCATACAGCAAGTATGCAGTCTACAAGAGATAATAGGAAGTGATCCGGCGCCACCTTGCTTAAGAAAGCAGTCACATTTATAATCTTCATCATAGATGATGTGCAACATGGTACGGCCCATCGCGGGTCTTGGCGGCGGCAATCGCGTGTAGCCCACGTGGGGGGAGGCGGCCAGCGGGCGCGATTGGCTGTCCGCGCGGGCTTTCAGCACTGGACAGCTCCCGGCGGGCGGGCGGGCGGGCGGGTGGCCGCCCCGGCTCGAGCTCCGGCTCCGGCTCGGGCTCGGCGGCGGCGGCGGCGGCGGCGGCGGCGCACAGACAGGCGATCGCAGGAGCTGCGCTCAGCACTCCGGCTGCCGGCTTTATATGGGACGCAGGCTGGAGGAGATCAGGTGGTCCCCTAGCAATGGAACTGTTCAGCGCTCTAATCCATCAAATGTCCCCCAGGACAATCGCTGCGCACACGTTCCCTTGAACCGGCGGCGGTGGGGGCAGGCCAGGCGCAGGGAGCAGCGGGCAGGCAGGAGGCGAGAAAGGGCGAGAAAGGCGCAGAGAGAGACGGAGAAAGGGGAGTGCGTGTGTGTGTGTGTGTGTGTGAGAGAGAGAGAGAGAGAGAGAGAGAGAGAGAGAGAAACATACACGGAGAGAGGTGGAAATAGAAGCAGAGACCAAGCTAAGGACAAAAAGACACAAGAGAGAAACAGAGAAAGAAAGAGATGGAGAGACTCGCGCACCCACGGGAGGGAAAGAGCTCCAAACACACAAAAAGGAAGCCCCCCGCCCCCAGATGCAAAGAAAGGAAAGGAAAAGTACAAACTAGAAGGAGAGGTGGAGGGGAGCAGAGGAGCTCAGCCCCAAGCAGGCGGGGTTCAGGCCCATGGGGACACGGGGCGGGGGGTGCCCAGCAGAGTGTGCGCTGGCTGGCGGCAGCCCTGCTGCCCGCAGGCCTCTCCCTCTCCCCCAGTTCTGAAGTGGCCAGCGTGGACACTCAGCTTTAACTAAGGAAAGCCCCCTCTCCCAGCTTGGGCTCCCACTGGAGCCCCCTGTTGGGTTTGGGGTTCAACTTTTTCTGCCAGAACTGATGGTGTTGGGGAGCAGGTGCCCCCATGTCGTAGCCTGCCTCGCTCAGCCCGTGCTGCTCCGGTGCCTTGCTCGGGCGGGCGCTGCAAGAGGAAGTGAAAATCGCCCAGTAATTAATTTCCCTGCTGCCGGGGGGTGGTAGTTTTGACACATCCGAGGCTGTGTCTTTCCCTGAAGCGGGGAGCAGACAATAGAGACACGTGGACGAGGAAGGGAGAGGGGGGAAGGGAGGGGGAGCGGGGCTCCTGCTGGAACTCTTTGCAGGTCAGCTCCTTTGTCTCTGGAAGGATCTGAACAGACCCCCGCTCCCCCCCAGTCCTGCCCAAACCGGGGGCAGCCCCATATCTTGGCATAACTGGGGAGCAGGAGAACTCAGCTCCTTGTGTGGAAGCTGCTGGGCCAAGCCCCAGTGTGGGGAGTGAGCCTCACTCAGCAAGTGTGGGGAGGCCAGTGCCCGAGTCTCAGGATGAGAGTCCAGGAGCACCAGGCTGTCCCTGGTCAGTGGCATCCTGTTGATGCCAGGCTGATGGTGGGGGTGTCCTTTGGGGGCTGGGACCAAGAGAGGGCATGGAGGTAGCTGAAGTCACACAGGGAGCCAGCAGTGACTGTCAGAGACCTCAGTGGCCTCTGGGCCCCCTTGAGTCAGGGGCCAACGTGGTCTTGGAGAAGCGGCCTGGCAGCCTCTGGTCTGGCCCAGGCGGTGTGTGGTGTGGGGGTCCTGAGCCATCTTCCCAGCGGTACTTGGCATGTGTCACTCCCTGGGACTTGTGTTAGCCTGCCATGTGAGTTGCGGTGACCCCACCCCCGGCCTCACAGCACATCCTTGGGTCCTCTCCTCTGGCCATACCAACCTGCTCCTAATTCTGGCTGCTCCTTCAGCCTCCACGCTGTTCCCTCTGCTCTGAGGATCTTCCCTTCCCTTCACCCCAGCAAACCCATCTTGTTCCCAACTAAGCTGAGACATCACTTCCTCCGGGAAGTGTCCCTGGCTTCCTTCATTGACGACTAAGCCAGCTTGCCTGTCAGTGCTCTCGTCATGAGGACAAGGACTCTATCCCTTTGTGGCTTGGTGCGCTCTTTAAAGACCAATTTACTTATTTGAAGGGCAGAGTGATAGAGAAAGAGAGAGAGAGAGAGAGAGAGAGAGAGAGAGAGAGAGAGAGGTCTTCCATCTGCTGGTTCACTCCCCCAATAGCCACAATATCCAGAACTGGGCCAGACTGAAACCAGGAACCTAGAACTCCATCCGAGTCTCCCATGTGAGTGGCAAGGGCCCAAGTTCTTGGAAAATCTTCTGCTTCCTTCTCAGGTGTGTTAGGGAGCTGGATCGGAAGTGGGGTAGCCAGGATTTGAACTGGCATACCAATGTGAGATGTTGCTGTTGCAAGCGGCAGTTTAACCCGCTGCACCACAATGCTGGCCCCTCAGCACACTCTTAACGGTTGTACACTGGGGCCTCTCAGCAACCCTACCTCCTAGCCGTGGAACCTCAGTCTCACCATTTATAAAATGGAAGTAGTCATTGTTGCTGCCTCAGGGTTGCTACATCTACACCTGTTTGTAAGTAGTGAATCAGACCTCCCTGGCACTGCTCTCTTGTAGAGAAACACATCCCTGACACTGTCTCTTCGCACAGTTGTTAGGTGCTATGAGGAGCATCAAACAGGGTGGGGCGATGGGGAGTGATGCTGACTTAGAAGGGTGACTAGGGGCCGGCGCTGTGGCCTAGCGGGTAAAGCTGCCGCCTGCAGTATGGCATCCCATATGGGTGCTGGTTCCAGACCCAGCTGCCCCACTTCTGACCCAGCTCTCTGCTATGGCCTGAAAACAGTAGAAGATGGCCCAAGTCCTTGGGCCCCTGCACCTGTGTGGGAGACCCAGAAGAAACGCATGGCTCCTGGCTTCAGATTGGTGGAGCTCCAGCCGTTTAGGCCAATTGGGGAGTGAACCAGCAGATGGAAGACCTCTCTCTCTCTCTGCCTCTCTATGTAACTCTTGACTTTCAAGCAAATAAATAAATCATTTTTTTAAAAAAAAGAAGGGTGGCTAGCAAAGGTCTCTGGCAGAAGTGACATTTGAGCTAAGACTTGAGCAAGCCATGGGAGGGGAGTCCCAAATTCAAAGGCTCTTGGGGGACAACAAGAAGTGGAAGAGGATGACCTCAAGACATTGGCAGGGCTGGAGCCCAGAGATCCTGCTCTGTAAATCCTGAGTGGGTGTGGGCGCTGGGCACAGTGACTGCTTGAGACACCTGCATCCCTACTGGAGTGCCTGGGTGTCAGTCCCAGCTCGGCTTCCAATTCTGGCTTCCTGCTAGTGTGTATTCTGGGAGGCAGCACTTCATGGTTCAAGTCCTTGGGTCCCTGCCACCCACCTGTGGGAGACCTGGATTGAGTTCCTGGATCTTGACTTCAGCCTGTCCCCGCAACCCCGGGCTTTTGTGGGCACTGGGGATGGGTGCTGGGAGATCTTTCTCATTTCAAAATGGGTAAGTAAGTTATAAAAAAGCTCCTGAATGCATGAATGGGTGGATGACCATGATGGTGAGATTCAGCCCATGACTATAGCCTAAAACAAACACAGCAGGTCTTCAGCATGTTCATGGAGCATGTGTATTAAGCAAAGAGCTATGCAAGTCAGTTTTTAATTCATTTTCCACAGACTTTTTGAAGTACCTACATACGTGGACCTGTTGACCGGAGAATAACTTCTCACTACCCGCATGGAGGAAGTTATTTGTTTAGTTGTGACAGTTGCTTGGTGAGCTTGCTCAGCACCGGCTGGTTGGTTTCGGAAAAGCCCACTCCTAGAAAATCATTTCTCCGGTCACATCAGGTGAGGAGCGAACGTTACTCCCAAGGGTTTGCTGCAGCATCAGAGGCTGGCGTGAGAATCCCAAGCCGGGGAAGGTGGGGAGAATGTTGTGAAGAGACCTCGATGGGCTCCGTGAACATTCCGCAGCCGTTGTCAGCGATCGTCTGGTGGAAAGAGCTCGTGGAACTAGGCTAAGTGCAGCACGCGGAATCCGGAGGTCTCTCCTAGCGTGTTCACAGGATGAAGCACCCATAGGAGAGTGCAAGGAGGCTCGCAGGGCCGTGGGGTTTTTCCTCTTCTTCTGGTATTTTTCCAAAAGATCATAAAATATTTCAGCTCAAGATGCATTTATGCTGAGCACCTGCTAGAATAAATCCACTCACTTCTAAATACAAGAAATGACAGAATGTAGTGCAGCGTGTCAGGGTATTCGTTACACATTCATTCCGGCTCTGGAGGAGATGGCGCTGCCTGCGGCAGGTTCCCCAGCGACCATGAAGAGCCTCAGCACATGGGCAGGCAGCGCGGTTCCTGAGCAGCTCCCGTGCCTGGCGCTGGGTGAAGCGCTTACCCTTCGCAGAAGCTGGCCCTGCCCGCGGCCTCACTTCAAGGGCTTTGGAGTCAGCCTGCTTTCCGTCCCCATCCGTGCTCTGCTGTTGCTCAGCTGTGATTCTCTGTGCCTCTGTTTTCTCATCTGTAAAATGGGATCATGGCTAGGCCCTGTCTCCCAGGCTGGAGTGAGGATTAAATGATAAAGCACTGGTAAAGTGCACAGGGCAGTGCCTGGCACACGGGGACTTGACTTGATGAACATTGGCTGTTGTGGTTGCTCTTTGTCTGCACCTCACCATGGGCTCATGGGAGGAAGCTCTGCTGTGGGCCTGGTCTACAGACGGAGGTGAAATGCCTGGCTCCAGGCCCCATGGCCGCCATGCGGCGGAGCTGGGGAGGGCCACATCGCTATGTGGCCTATTGCCCTGGGCACCCCAGGCTTGGAATAATGGGGCCCTCCCTGCTCTGATTTCTTCCTGATTTCAACCCCGCCCTGCCCATCAGGACAGAGGGCAGCCAGCAGGGTCTGGGTGTGGCCCTAGGGGGCTGGCAGAGCTGCCCTAAGCTTCCCCTGCACATCTGGAAAGAAGGGACAGGAAGTCATGTGATGTGCTGGCTTCCCCCGAGGGTGTCGGGAAGAAGCAGTGTCCCGGGAGGCAGAAGCCCGGTCCTAGTC